CCGGGCCCAGTTGCCCTGGTAGTATGCGTCTATGGACACTATGCCTCGAGTACGAGGGTCACTCAGCGCCTCCCACCCCAGAGCATAGGTCTGATCCGACCTGCTGCCGTCCGGGATGAGCCGCCCGATGTACTCGCCCAGGATGTCCCCTTTGCGGAAGGGCCACAGCGCGCGCACCCCGATGCCCCGGTCCGCCGTCTTGACGAGCTCCACGAGCTCCCCGGGCATCGACTGCACCTCGCACCGGCAGACATGCGGGGATTCGCAGAAGTCGCAACATCCCAAATCATATACATGTGCCCAGCGCATGGTGACATTAATTTCGGGGTTGTCCTTCGGGTCGACGTGGTCCTTCCAGTCTGCGGGGTCCCAGATATTCTTGGTGACATTGGGCTGACGATGATTATCGTAACTCGGGGTTACGACATGGTCTCCGCCATCGAGAGGGGTCGCAAGCTCGTGCGGATGGCGGTCCCAGAACTTCTTGACGAGCTTCAGCGCCGGGCCCATGTAGCGGATGTTGTCGTTAGAGTACGGGAGCAGCAGGCCACGCCAGTCGATGTTGCGCACGCGGCCGTAGAGCTCCAGACTGTTCTTGTTGGCCGTGAGGGCCTCAAGTACCTCTTGCCGCAGCTGGGTGTCGACCTCTTGGTCTAGGGAGAGGAGGCGCCGAAAGGCTTCCGAGTAGGCAGCGATCGCGAACCCTTCCCAACCGATGCGCTGCAGCAGGTCATCAACCTCGTCCGAGAGCGCTAAGCCTTCGGCGGAATGGTACGAATCATCCAGCCCTGCGACCAGATTTACCATCTTACTGATGAAGTTCGTTGCCTTCTTGCACTCATGCCAGTAGCGCGTGCGGTCGGTGGTGATTTTTCTGCCCTCCCGCACGTTAATGCGCACCTTGCCAACACGGTTGAGGTCATAGTAGATGTTGCCGAGCGTCTTTGCTTTCAGAGTTGCAATCGACTTTCTTGACAACGGACGAGGAGGGGGGGATTTCGCTTTCGCTTCTGCTTTAGGAGCGGCAACAGACCCCAGCGACAGTGGATCACGAGTGGGCGGAGTCGCTTTCGCTACTGCTGCAAGAGTCCCAAGGGTCTCTGCCACCAGTGGATCACGAGGACGAGGTTTGCGATTCGCGTACGCCTTTAGTCTAGCAATCGAGTCTGGCGACAATGGACCGCCAGGGAGGGGATATGATTTAGCTTGTGCCAGAGCCACTGACAGAGGAACATGAGTGCGGGGAGCGGCAATTGCTGGTCTCACAAACGTCGCAAGGGACATTCCCACTGTTGGCTTGCGCGCTGGGGGTTTCGCTGTCACTGTTCCTCTAGGAGCGGCAACAGGCTTTGGTAACGGTGGATCACTAGCGGTACTTGCTTTTACTTCAGGAGCAGTAGCAGCATCCTTTGATGATTGTGGATCCTGATCAGGAGATTTCGTGTTAGCTCTCACTATGGCAGCGGCAACCAATTCCGGCGACAGTGAATCACGAGGGAAGGGCCTTGCGCGGGACTTCTGCCGGGACGCTCTCGCCGGGGAGGACTTTGTTACTTTATTCTGGGGGGGAGGAGCATTCTTCTTGGATTGTGAGGAACCAGGCCCTGAATCTGCCTTGGTTGGAAAGCACATAATACGCGCTGGTAGGATAAATGCAAGTTGACGTGACGGTGAATCTGTAAATCGCAGTCCTAGGTTGATTCTTTCGATGAGGAGTCAGAAGATTGCCAATATGGTTCCCTCAAGGAAGAGAAACGTTACCAGTCAGGCTTTATGTACACCGTTCATCAGCTGCCCACTTTCCCACCCAGATGTGAATCTCCAATTATGTTGCTTGAGTTCATCACCGGTGAAAGACCAGCAGCCTCCGGCCCTTTGTGGGCGACATATTTTTGGCCGCTGGATCATTGTTCACTTGCAAATGAACGGGTGGGTTGGTCATGCTTTGTATTCTTTCAACTCGTTTGAAAGAACAGGGAACGAACGGTTTGAAACCACCGAACAAAGCCTTTGGGGACGAGAATCCATTCTTGGTGAAACGCCCCCCCCTCCCCAAGAAAGAGGAGGATAGACGTGGTGGTATTGGCACAGGGCACGATTGTGTTGTGTTGGACGGTTAGTAGATGTTGATAGGGGAAGTGGTAGTTTGCTGCCCAGCGGCTGCAACGCCATCAGATGTTGCCGTTTGAAAGTAGTTGTTCCGTAGTAGTCAGCGCAATCCATGATTCCCCAGCAAAATCAAAAGATAGACATGAAGGTCTACGAGTTATCTCCCCATCTACATAGTCGACAAGCTCATTTTCATTGCATATACAATCATTGCAGCTACACTGTCCATCCACAAACCGTAGTCAAGAATATACAACCCCAACTCCACCCCTAAACCAAGCGCGTAAACCCCTCCCCGTTCTCGGGCGGCTGCAACCAATTCCGCTCATCATAGACCCAGCCCTCGGCACCCTCGATGACATGAAAGGTATACGCGAACCGACTCCGGGGACTCGTATTCCTCGAGCTCTGATGCAGGACATTGCCGTGAATGAGCACCAACGAGCCGGCCTTGATATCCAACAGCTGTACCTCCCCGTCATCTTGCGTCTCATCCTCAACCAAGCCCTTGGGCACCCTGGCACCGGTATTCTCCACGAACTCCGTCCCGCGACTGCCATCGGGCACGCGCCGCACGAACCGCCGCGCGATGCCATTCCGCCGATGCGAGCCGGGGACCATGCCGAGGGTGCCGTTCTCGACGGCGGCGTCCTGCAGCGCGAACCACCAGCCGACGGCGGAGGGCGGGTCGGTGTACAGGAAGGTGGAGTCCTGGTGGCTGGGCACGGCGCCGCCGATGCTGGGCTGCTTGCAGATGACCATGCTCTGGAGGACGCGGGGGTCGTGGAAGCCGAGGGAGCGGGCGATGGCGGCGTTGCGCGGGGTCAGGCTGACCTCGCGGAACGGTGGGGACAGGCTGTGCAGGGAGTGGCCGATCTTGTTGACGGCCTGCTGCTTGGGCTTGAGGAGCGCGCCCGGCGTGTCCCGGTCGAAGGCGTCCGGCTCGAAGAAGAACCGGATCTTGTCGCCCGAGGTGAGGAAGTAGTCGTCGCCGACATGCTCTTTTTGGGTGTCATCGTCGCCCGTGGTGAACTGCGTGAGCGGGTGGGTGTCGAGCGGGAAGGTGTCGAGGAGGTGGTTGGTCTCCGTGAGGCAGCGTTGGACCTCGGTCGGGGTGAGGTGGTCGGGCAGGACGAGGTAGCCGTTCTCGTGGAAGAAGGCGAGTTGCTCCGGGGTGAGGCCTTCGGCGGTCATGGCGGGGGTTTTTCTGGGGGGTAGGTGTGAGAGGATGGTGTAGGATGGAGGTTTGGCGCAGATGGGAACAGAAAAAGAGGGGGAGGAAACTGTGGGGGAGCAGGAAATATGCTATACGGCGGGTTTTATAGGCGCGGTGCTTATCAGCTTATCTCGTCTGACAGGCTGTAAGTTAGCTGGCTGTGGATTAGAGAAGATAGATAGTTTCTGTTCTTGAGACTAAGCTCAGGATTCTTACTGGAAAAGGACCTAGTAATAAGACAATCTGTCAAGAGAGAGTAAGAGGTAGTAGTCGGATTAACTTAAAACTCTTAGCTTATGTCTGGCATTCTTCTACCTGCAAAGACAATGTCAAAACACAAAGTTGTATTGACCGCCTACAGAGAGACGATAATTCTGCAGGCAGAATGCGGATCTTGGTTCTATCAGAGCAAGGGGCAAGCGGTGAGCAGCTAGCAGCCTGCTGAGTCATCTCTCCGCCGAGCTCTGCCCCATACCCCAGGAATCACTAACTGTATTAGGAAATGGTACCTCAGCCCGGCCGGGCCTTGGCCATCACAGATGATAGCATGTGTCTACTAACATGAATCTTCACAACAGTTTACAATGCGCAAGCACACTCATCAAGCAGGAGTGAGACTAGTCCAGCTAGCTGAGAGTATCTCGGCAGGTGGGGCAAATAGCCCTGGGAATCACTGGGGTAATATGTATATCCACTCCGCCTCAACCAATAGCATCTCAAAGCTTCTATAGAGCTAGAGGCAACAGTTTGGTATAGTGAATAGGAACTCTATCAGCTACCGCTGACTCTTATTATCCCAAGAGTTCAATCTTTATATCAAGTAGACTCCCTATAAATAGTCATCATACCAGTTTTTAAATATTTAAGATCTTCGGATATTCTGCTTTTTGTTTTCTTCTTTCTTCTACTATCCTTCCTCCCCAGCGTCACATATTCTGAATCCATCAGCTCTTTACCTTCTATCATCTCCAAAGCAAGGACGTATCTCTAAAGTCTTCTGCATCCTCATCTCCTTCAATCCATCAACTCAGGTCCCCTCTTTCCCGAGCTTCAGCAGACAATCCTAAGAACTCTTAAGCTGGTCTTATTTTGCTACCGGCTCATCAGCTCTAAACCCAGTAAGTATCTCTTAAATCTTCTGCATCACCATCATCATCAAAGACATCAACTAAACTCCCCTCTTCCTTTAATTTGCAGCAAGGAAATCTCAAAAGCTCGAGAGCCGAGTTCACTTGACCGTTATGTCTCAGGACCAGTCTCAGGCGCAGTCTCCTTCCGAGCTAGCCATGCTGCGTAGATTGCACAGCTTCCGCTACGCACTGCGTTCCTCTGGGCCAGTCGCTGGAGCTGGAGCTGGAGCTGGAGCTGCACTCTCCGGTCCTCATCACAGCCCAGCCCCTTATGACAACGTGACCAGCACCACCACCATCACATCAGAAGACATCGATACCGACACCGACACCGACGCCGACACCGAGGCCGAAGAAGACGAAGACTACGAAGACTACGAAGACCCATCCTCCGAAGACGAAGCAGACCCCAACCCACCAAACCCCCTCCCCACCCCCCCAAATACACCTCCACCGCCACCGACCCCCCCCAACCCCCCCTCAAACCCCATAAGATGCGCCTACACCCGCACCTGCACCACCACCACCCCGGGCCACCCGCAACACTACCGGAAACTGATCTCGCACATCTTCGGCCGCAACAAGCACTCGACCAAACAGATCCCCGCCCCGCTCTGGTGCTGCTACTACTGCCGGAAGCACTACCAGCGGGCGCGGTACCGGGAGCGCGACACCTGGGCGCTGGCGCAGTGCTTCTGGGTGGGGCAGATGCTGCAGCGCCTGCGCACGCTGCCGGACCTGGTGGGGTTTCGGGTGCAGCTGCGGCTGCGGCAGCAGCAGCATTCCCCCAGGCCCAGTCCAAGTCCGCCGGTGGGTGCGCCGGTGGTGCCGGGGTGGTTGGTCGAGCGGATAACCTCTAGAGATAACGACGAGGTGTGGTCGTTTGAGGAGACGCAGGCGCTGGTGGGAGGGGAGATTCGGGAGTGGTTGTTGGAGTTGAGGGCCAGGAATGTCGCCGCGGGGAAGTTTCCGGATGTGGAGATTTTGCCGGTTTGGAGGTGATTTTCTTGGATACCGGTATAATGGGCCTTGGGTGGTTCGTGGGGTTTGTCGTGCCACTTGAACGCCTTCCCCGAATGAATTGAGTGTGAAGGGGAAGGAAGGTGGAGAGAGACTCGGGAGGGCGGGATGGTCGTCCTGTCAATGCTTCAGCATCTGCCGGTCGATATGTGCTTCTTTCCTTTGGCTCGGATCGAGAAAGCCGGTCGATCATCAGCTCGAATCCTCCAAAACCATGCCCACCGTTCTCATTCTCATTTGTATGGGTCAAATTGCTTGCGATCATAAGTGAGCTCGATTCAGCAGTCCCCTGTTTTATGAGTCTGGATTCAATGACGAGAGCTGTGTTTGTCTTCTTCATATGTCGTGAGCTTCTGATGTACACCCAACCATGATGTCTCAGCAAGGTGTCGCGGGTATCTGCCACTTAGCATTCAACAACTTAGTAGCGACTAGCAGCAAACAAAGATCGCGGCATAAGCTGCCACATTTCTATCAGTATATCAGTAACTCAAGTCACACCTACACAAAATCCGTTGGATAGTGTACCTGGCTAAAGTATTGACGTGTATATTCTCTAACCGCATTATCACTACCACTGCCGACTAGGTACCTATAAACCAGATGCAGCATCCGACAAAGTAAACTATAGGCAATAAAGCGAACAAGAGAGAAAAAATTCCCCACAAATTCATAGTCAATCATCCACCAACGCCATATAAATAAGACCGAAGGGAGTCAAGTCATTATTGTATCGTATCATCACATCACATCGCATTAGAACCCCAACAAGCTCCCCCCTCGCCTCCCGACATCCAACCCTCAAAACGAATGGTCCGGAATCAACTCGTATCCACCCTCCGACGGCAACGTATACGCCGCAATGATCAACGCCGCAGCGCAGAAGAGACTCACGCACCAGCTGACGGTACAGAAAATCCAGGATTGGGAAAGGACCCAACCAGGGAAGAAGCGTTTCTCGTTGTCGAACAGGTACGCCTGTCGATCGGGAACGGTTAGCAGCAGCAGCACCACCACCACCACCACCCTAACCAAAGACAAAGAACTCACCACAATCGCCATACTCGCCGCCTGCACAATCGCAGACAACAGAATGAACAAGCTCAAAACCTTCCACCCGGACTCGCGCAACCGCTTCCCGCCGGACAAGACGATCAGGAACGCGACCAGGCTCATGCCCTCCAGCACCACGGCGAACGACATCAGGAACCCGACGGAGCGCCACATCGAACAGAAGTATCGGTCCTCGCCGTGACAGTCTTCGCGCTGCGGAAAGCTCCAGCAGGTGCCCTCGACGGAGGAGCAGCGGCGGTGGAGGCCGTAGGAGTAGTGGAAGGCGGGCTGAATACCGTCATCGCGTTAGTTCTATATCCCTTTGACTCAATATATTCGGGTTGATAGGGTCCACAAGGTTGATGATATCTTCCCAGCAAAACCCCCAACAGGCCAACATCGAGGGAAAATGGAAGTGGCAAAACGGACCGAATCATAGCTAGCCCATCTGGGAATGGCGATCGAGGAGATGGTTAAACCGAAGGCTGTAGATGGTGGCCATATTAGTTTCGGGCTGCGATGTGCGCGAACAAGGAACAGAAGGGGGCGTGGTGGAGAGAACGTACAGGCTAAGAATAATATTAAGGAACCGGTGTAGACGATTGTTTTGGTAAGGAACCCGGTATAGTTGCGATCTTCCCCGCGAGGCACTAGATGAAAATCCATCCTGGCGCCGGGGGGATTTCTTGGGGAGGGGGGTGTAGTTATCGTCGCAGGTCTAACGAACGGAAGAGATTGCGAACGGCGGAGGGATTGCTGGTCGGTGCTGGTCGGTGCTGGTCAGGTATGTTCTACTGGATGGGGTTGAAATGATACGACGATGACGACACAGCACGAGCCGATAAGACGGGAGTGGCAGCGAAACAGCGGAAGTAATGGAGGAACAACAAGTAAGACAACCCGACACTAACCACAGGGATGAGGGAGAGTTTATCAAGTAGTAGAGAGGGGGGAGAGGAATGCGAGAAGAATCCAAAGGTCAGTCAGTCAGTCACTCACTCAGTCGAAAGGACGGAGGGGTCTGTTGCAGCGAAAAATGGAAGGAGGTGGTGGAAAGATGGGTAGGACTATGGATGAGCTGATCAGGAAAGGGCCAGACAGACGGCCGGCCGGTCGGTCGGTCAGGTGAGGCTCTCTCTTAATCTAAATCCCAATGGAAGTAAGTCAATCAATTCCATTCAATCCAATTCAATTGAAATGCAACTCAATTCCCTCCACAACCCGCCCAAAAAAGAGGCCCGGAATTTATTCTGAAGCAAAAGGTAAAAAGGAGAGAGCATGACACTTCAAATATCCGCCCCCCCCCTCCTTTACCTCAATCAACAAACCGCATGCCCGCCCAGAAGAAAATACCTCACCTCATCATCCCCCGTCCGGAAACAGACCGAGTGGTGTATGACATGACCCCCTCCCCCTCCAGGCAACAAGTACAAGTACCGTACAGAAAAGGACAGTCTATGATCATCATGAACCCCAGTACAGTCCAACCTTGACTTGACTCCCAGATGATCCATCCATCATTCTCCATCATCATCATCTATCAGAACGCATTCTTAAGCAGTATGTCAGTTCCTCGCAAAACAACCCACCCAAGCTTGAGAAAATCTTATAGTTGCAACATTCCACCCCCACCACCACCACCACCACCACCACCCACCGCCTCAAGGTGGGAGGGGAGGTCCAAGCGTCTACCACCAGGACTGCAATGGCGGGGACTGTAGTTAACTACTGTCCACAGTCCACTGTATGTATGTACAGACCAAGCAACCAAGCAACCAAGCAACCAGCACCAAGTTTCCTCCTCTCTAGCAGTTCCTCTCGCCCCTCTGGTCGCCCACCAACTTTCCCACCCACCCACTAACCCACCAAATCTGTACCAGGGTTCGGCGCAGCAAGCAGCAAGGGCGAAAGTAGAAAGCTCAGATGAACAGAGCTTGTTTACGAGACACTCGGACTCGGTAACGTAGTCCAAGTCCATCCTTGGAATTCTTCCCTCCCCTCCCCTCCCCTCCATCCAAGCAATAAGAAATACTCCGTCTACTCTACTGTGCTATACATGCAACCTACCCGACCCCTTTACCCGTCTCCGTTGGTTGGTATCCTTTCCGTAATGCCGATTCGACATCGATCCAGTCCCCCATAAGATAATTGGAGCAAATAAGCTGCAAGGATCCGAATCAAGCAATCCGATACCTTGTACACACAACCACCAGTAAGTTCCAAGATCCAAGTTCTTCTCCGCCCGGCGCATTCACACAGTTGCGTTCGGGTCACGCACGGTGACACGCATGTAACCATGTAACTATGTCTCTAGCTATCCTTGACCTGATATATGCTGGAGTATAAATCGGAGATTCGACCATGCCCTAAGGACAATCTACAAATCTACAAATTTACAAATCTACAATCTACAAGGAAACAGAATTTGTCCCATCAAATCACGTGGGAGGGTGTCCATCTCCATCCTCTGGACTCGTGCTCATCATTCCATCGCCTATCTCACGGTGGGGGAGAAGAAAAGTATAACCTTCTGGCCCGAAGACAGAAAGAACCCACGGCATCAGGATGAAAGAAAAAAGAAGAATCATAAGAAAGATACAGAATAATCTACATCCGACATGAGGCTGGGGGTTCCATGACCGAAGCAAAGTCCATGATAATACACGGCCAACCAGCAAGAATATTAAAAAAGAAAAATAAGACAGAGTCAGCACCGCCTCGGTGACAAGTTATGGTAGAAAAACACATCAAAGGTGGGGGTGTAGAATGGAAGAGAGAGAAAGAAAAAAAAATCCAGGTCATCAGCAAGCGGAGAGAAAGAGAGAGAGAGAGAGGGAGGTAACGCCAAACCCGCCAATGCAATCCAGTGCGTCGGACGCTTTCATTCCGCTCGACTCTGCTGGATCATCGCACGAAAGTCATCATTGCTCTTTTTCATTTTTGGTCCGTCATCCGGGGCGGAGCTGTCTGTGTTGTTCGTCATCGTCGTCGTCGTCGTCGTGGTGTTGGTCGTAGGCGCGCCATTCTGCGCGTGGCTCTGCCCCTGCAACCCACCGGTGGCTCGCTTCACACCCAAGTGACCGCGCTTGCCTCCGCGCGCCCCAGGCTGCGGTGGCCGTTTAATCGGTCCAGTCGGTTGGAGTCTCGCCCCCGACTTCTCAGTAGTCGCCTTGCTGCCGGCGGTGCTCGAGTGGCCTCTCTTCTCTGCCGACTGCTTCAGCATTTCCGGTACGCTTCCCACGTGCAATCTCCGGCCGGGAGCAATCTCCTGTCCTTCCAATTCCAGCGAGGCTTTTCCGGCAGCATGAATGTCAGCGAACTCGACGATCGCTCCTTGGTGGTCTGGCCGAAGGATAATCTTGATCAGCTTGCCGTACGGCTCGACTAGCGCGCGAATCCGTGCATCGTTGACCGTGTCGGGAACATTCATCAAACCCAGAGTACGCGCGGCCCGATCACTGCTGGAAACCTCCTCTCCAGTTCCGTTGGCTTCAACCGACGGAGATCGCGAGGCTGACACGCGAGACAGAATTGTTGTGGCACTCCGTTTTGCCCCCTGTGGCGTGGACAACTTCACTTGCAAAGGCCGGGACCGGTACTCTTGTTCGTGCATTACCAAAGCTGCCTCGGCTTCCTCCTGCAAACATAATCAGCGGGATGCAATTTTAGGTAGGTTCACACAAACGTACCTTGGAAGCGAAGACAATATAACAGAAACCTTTGCTGCCTCCGTCCACCTTGCGAGGAATGCGCACTTGTTCAACGGTGCCGAACCGCAAAAACAGCTCCTCCACGTCTTGTTCGCTAGCCTTCCAGTCCAGGTTGCTCACATGAATCTCGCGTCCTTCGTACATCGGACCATGTCGGTCTTGTTTGCGAGTGGGATCGGAAATCTTAGCGACCAGATGAAGGCCATTGCCGACTGTAGACCCGTCTAGTTGGGTGGCGCTGTAGGCTTCTCCAGACGTCTTGAATTGCACATAACAGAATCGCCGATGCGTGTTATACTTAAGAGACGGGAAGCGGATGTCAATGATTTCTCCGTGCTGCAGTAGGTTAGCAATGTGGGTTCCCTGACTACACACGGAAGGGGAAGTCACCTCACGGAACAAATCACGAATATACTGTTCATCCGCAGTGGGGGGGAAATTGGTGACAAAGAGTGTAGACCCTGACCCGAATTGAACCTCGATGGCTTGTCCATCGATCATCTTCTGATCGCGGGTCTGCGCGACGACGGCTTCATCTCGGTTGTTAAATTCTATGATGGCGGTTTCCGAATTCCCATTTGGAGCAGAAAACATTTTCAGGCTGTTGATCGTACCGCACTGCCGACACATTAGCTACGCGCTGCACGACTCTGCAGACGGGCAGTGTACTTACATGGCGAAAGAACTGCCGGACTTTATGTTCCGTAATGCCACGAGGCAACTGCTTGACGACCACGGTTGCATTCTCGCGATCACGTTGAAGCGCAACAGGTTCAGGCGTCACGAGAACAGACGGGGTGGACTCTTCTGCACGGGCCCGTTTCGCAGGTGCTGCTCCGTTCACGACAACCTCGTCTTCCCGCTTCCTCTTTTCGACTTGTGTCGCCTGCTCGATGGCTGCGGCCTGTTGCTCTGCCTGCCGCGCGGCCGCCTCCCTTGCGTCCCGCTCGCGCCGGGCTGTGATGGCCCTCATCGCCTTGCGGGTTTCGAGGATCGCCAGCTGCAGCTCATCCGAGTCTTCGTAATCCTCGCAGTGAGCGACATAGACCTGCATGATCTTCTCGGGCCAATCCAAATCTGTCCGCTTGATGGCCTGCTTCAGAACGGCGGTGGCGTAGCTGGGGTTGGGTGTCCGCCGGGCGGCGTCAATGGTGGCTTCTCCCTGCACAAACTTGCTCCAGGAGATGAGCTCCCACTCGTAGTAGGTCAGCCAGAACTCGTAGCTGTTACCGCGCCGACCGACAAGGCCCTTGAAAGTCTCTCGGGCACTATCCCAGCTGCCGCTTTCGCTAAGATAGCGGATGTAGATCCGTTCCAGGCGGAACAAAGGGTCCCCTTGGTAGTTCCGCCCGTATTTCTTCTCGCCAAGCTCCTGAACGCTTTCAATGGCAGATCGGATTCCAACCTCCGCCACGTCGATATCTTCGTCGGTCGAGTCAGACAGGAAGGCCTGTCGACGCAGATAACTGCACCAAGCGGTATGCACTTTGAGCACTTCCTCCATGCCCCCAACATCTAGCAAACCGGTGCTGGTCGCTTTGTGCTTGATATCCGCGATCTTCGCAAAGGACTGTCCTTCGCGCTCGGAGCTTAGCAGATATTGCGACCAGAGGGTACCGGAACCGGGACAGTGGCGAGTCGCACGGTCCAAGGTGGCCATCGTCGCAGTTTTGGTGTTGCCGTGCATCGATTCGTTGACAAGGTACATGATGAAATCCTCCCACATGTGGCAATCGGTCGGGAAACGAAGAACCGCGCGCTGGTAGATCGACTTGACGAACTCAAAATTGCTCAATTGCCGTTTCCGACGACTTTGTTTGAGCTCCCAGTCAAGATACTCCGTGAATAAGGTATATTCCTGTCCCAACTCGCCGGACTCGGTCGCATTGCGTAACTTGATTTCGAATTCCTCACGGGCGGAGTATTGTTCCTTGGCTGCCGTGGCGTGTCTTCCAACCATGTCGGCCATGATATTTTCGTAGTTCGCGTTGTAGTAGTTTGAAACAAAGCCGGAGAAGAGCTGAAAGGTCTGGTCCCAGGTGGCGTGGGGCGTTGCAAGACGGACCTCAAAGAAGTTCCGCACATGATTCACCTTCTCTTGGGTAGCGTTGCGGGCAAGATCCTGGACGAGCAAGTCGAGGAAGCGATCCCACACCATATGGCTGTCGTGGATTCGCCATTGGGTCGACTCGGCTCCCCTGTGCCAAACCTCCAAGACGGAGGGCCAAGTGAAAACTTCGCGCCCGATGATCCGATCTTCCTCGGTCCAGGAGCTCTGGCTGGCATCGCCATGGGCCGATTTATAAAGGTACAGCACCCATTCTCCATAAATGCCCCAGAGTTTGGTGCTGCCGTACTCTTCCTCCACCGATCGTTGGCAGAGCTCCATGACTGCGATGCGTTCCTCCACCGATTGTGCCAGCATACTCTCATCCTGGATCCACTCCGCCCACAAATCCTCGCCCATGGCGAAAAGCTTGTCCATCTCCTCGCGAGCGGTGCGCATGTCCTTAAGCAGATCATACTTGCGTGGATCCCCATGGATTTCCGGGTTGTTCGGCGGATAGACGTGGTTGACGAAGCCCGCGTGTAGCAAACGAATGAACCGGACGTGCGCTTCGTACGACTGTGGGTTTTCCTGTATCTGAGCAAATAAGTCGGTCGCCTGCCGCTGTGCGTTGGGGACCAAAGAGCTATCCAAGTAGCTTCGTTGGGCGGTCTCCCTGGGACCGTCGGACATCGCGATATCGAAGGAGGATCGGGGAGTGGGCGTGTTGTGGGAAATGGGGTTGACGTGAGGGAACATGGTGGAGGGTGACAGCTGGCTTTCGTAGGACTCGGTGCTGCGCAAGAGAGGGGCGCCGGGACGCTGAGGCTGGTGATGCTGCATCGACGCTAGGTCGGCCAGTGTGTCCATACCTGGGGTGGAGGGCTGTCTCGCAGGCGGCAAGTCGGTTGCCGGGGGCGTTCCGCTGCCACTGCCACTGCCACTGCCTATGCTAGGACCAACCTTGGGGCTGTTGGCGGGCGGTGACGGATCAGGCAGTTGATTCGGGGCGTACACATGTTGCGCCAGCGGCGAGGAGGTCATACCCTGCTTGGTTGCGCCGGGACGAGACTTTCGCAAGGGTTTTGGCTGCGGCGGGCCTGAGACGGGAACCGAGGCATTGTTGACAGGCGTAGACCCGGCGGTGGGCGTGGTGCGCCCGGACTGTGAGTTGGAATCCTGAGGCGAAAGGAGGGAGTTGATGTCCATCATCAAGGCTGTGGGATGACGGGGTAGAAAGACGAGAGCAAAAACCGGGGCGGCAGATATCAAGCAAAAGTCCAAGCGCCAGCTATGGTGCTGACGTAAGGAAGTTTTCGAAGTGGAATGAGAGACTAAGGGAATAGACGAAGGAGAGAAAAGAAAAACTTCGAATTAGAGAGGAACCGTTGCAAGTGACCTCATCAACGAGTCCATTCCTGCACTCGTCACAACCCGGCCAGATTCTTCTTTTGTTCCTCTTATTCTTCTTCTGTGTCTTGAGGAACCGAGGGATGGAGTGGCGTATTCTTGCTTTTGAATATCCTTGTTGTCGGTCTGGGTAGGGTGGGATGGAAGGGGGTCCGTTCGTCACTTATTCGGGCCAGTTGAGTGGGCTGGCCGACGGCAGGAAGAAAACAGAGGAACTTCAGAAAGTAAAGAAGAACAAGCGGAGGGGGGAAATAAATAAAAGGAGAAAGGAAAAAAAAAAAAAAAGAGAGAAAAAAAAAAAAAAAACAGTGAAGGCGGAGGGGGAGAAAGGTTTCAGGTGGGAAAGTAATCAAAATAGAAAGTAATCCAAAGCAAAAGCAACCAAACAAATGCAAGTGATGCGGTACTTTGAAGATCACTGGTATTTGTTCAGGCCTTTGGTTTGAGTTGCAGGTGGGAGGAAGCTTGACAGGTTGGGCGCTTTGCCAAAGACTGCTAGAGTGAGGCGCTGGGCGGAGGTAGGAGAACAACTGCGGAGAGAGCTGCAAGCAACAAGATCGCGCTCTAGATTTATTTATCTTGGGTTTTGAACCTCTGATGGAGGGAGAAGGCGGGAGGGGAGGGTGGGATAGACGAAGTGGGTGGGTGAAGGGAGGGGGGAAAGAGAAGATAGTAGGTAATCAGATGCGGTGGTAGAGACGAGAGACTCTAGGGAGGGAGGATGAGGATGAGGGGAACAGAGAGACAGTCTCCAGCACACACTACTCACTCCAACCAGACGAACTGATCTTGGTCCGAGCGATAGAATGGAAGCTAAAATGGGCAAGTCAGCGGCGGTGGAGTTTGGGCGGGAAAAAATTGGGGAATTATTCTTGGGTGGATAGGAATTGGGGAATTAGAGGATAGAGAAATTCACACGCACGGGATGTCCCTTTCGGGGGGAGGGGAGGGAGGTTGATGAGGTGGTGAGTGGGTTGAGAGTAAGAGGGAGGAAGGGGAAGGAGACGGAGAAAGAGGAAGAGGAGGAGGAGGAAGAGTCAGAAGAGGATCGGGAGACTTGAAGAACTAGGTAGACTAGACACCAAGAGAGGGAGAGAGAAAAAAAAGACACGAATGACAAGAATGGATGAGGCAGAAGAAGGCAGGCAGTGGATCGATGCGGTGGAGTTGGAGCAGTAAAAGAAGGGTAAGTTAGGGAAGGGAAAAAATAACAATCAAATAACAATGGCAACCACCACAATTCGCCTTGTTGAACTACACACGAGCTATATAGAAACCGCTGAAACCTGTAAGTTAAGACGTATCAGGTCGAATCCAGTTCACTGATTTCTAATTCACCAACTGTTTGCTAGTCTACCAGATTATGGAAGTATGTATACGGAGTATGCCGAGTGGTTGAATCTCTCTGGCGAAGAAGATGTTTTCCAAAAGGTGAGTGTAGTTCACCCCCACTATGAGAAATGATATCGGATCTCTTGATGGCGGATGTAAGTTCCAATTTGGTACATGGTACTAACTGAACTGCTGCTCCATCTGATATCGGATAAGACAACTTGGAAGTGAATAACCTCGAAGTCAATCACAAATGTTGATTGTTGGGATACACCTACCGTAAAGTCCTCATGACTACTCCGTACCCTCCTTCAAAGTGCACGTTGCTTGATGACGGCCGAGGATCTCGACTGCGATCGATTTCACCGGTTGTGTAACCGGCGACAGGGGAGGACAGCATCAGCATCCTTCGACGTAATGGCCGCAGCAGCACACTTTCCGATCTGCCGATGTCTCTTGTCTCTTGTCTCTTGTGCTGTCGCCGGGTGACCACCACTAACTTACCACCACCTGGAACACTTGACCCTGACTTGACACCTTCTCCGCTCCCCCGGGGAAAAAGGAAGTTGTCCCGTGGTGTGTGACGGGTATGAAAGGTGTGCCTAGATCGAGAGACCGAGAGGTTGGTTGGCTGGCTGAAGGATTGGCTGGTGCTAGCTACACGATTTTGTTCCGGTCGGAAGACATGCAATAAAGGCATGCAAGATTCTTAATCCATATCAATGAAGTGAAATCTTTCATCATGGCATCGAGCATGGATCTCATTTCACATCCTTTAAGCAGGACAGGAAACTCTAGGGCTGGGGCGGCTGTTCCTTAATTGGGTTAAGCGGGCTACTGAGGTAGGTATCCTGGCTGCAGTGAGAGAGAGAGCGAGGGAGGAAAGAGAGAAAAAAGACGCAGGCTCGGCCTATGAGGTAATTGAACAGCAAGCCGTCGGGCCTTATTGGCGGCAATAGATTCCAGTTTGATCCTCGATAAGTTTCAAGGTTACCTAGATACTACTACTGAAAGCTCCCGAGTCAGCTTGTTAGTAGTTAGCCTAAGTAGCACATGACCCTGCAGTGAAAGAGCACCGCCGGGGCCCGGGCGGCGGCGGTCGACCTTGCCTGTTCGGGCGCTGGCGGGAACTCACTAGCCACAACCGTTGTGGCTAGTGAGGGCTACCGCTGTGGCTAGTACCTAGACTCCAGCTCTCTGTGGCGGTGTCATTAGTCGTTTGTAGTTGCCGCATTTACCAGGCAGCAAGGCAGACGTGCTCCTTCCATCCAGACAAACCACTCGCGCAAAAGCCAAGCCCATCAATCAACCGACACTTTTTTCCCTCAAGCATCTCCGGCTCCCCGTTGCACGCAAATCCCTCTCTTCCCCCTCCCTTTCCCCCTCATCCTCCCCCATCATGGCCTCAATGGGTTCAATCCAACCCTACGGGCACCTCATCCGGTCAGGTAGGGACATCCGTGACCACCATCCCCTCCCATCCCCAATGCTTATAAGCGTGACCCCATCCATTAACACCAAACAAACCTGCAGCCCGGACCAACATCACCTACGTGCCACGCCGCACCCTGACCTCAACAGTCATCCGGTATGCCCAGGAGAGTAACAACGACAGCAACGCCCCAAATAACAAGCCCAGCCCCGAGTCGCAGCCGCAGCAACCACCCTCCAAGCCGTCCGCCCTCTCCTCCATCAAGAACTTCTTCTTTGGCGGCAGCAAATCCGATGCTCCGAAGCCCACGATCCGCCCGGTCACCGCGCCCCCGAAACGCGAGGGCTCTCTCGGCACGGACTCGATTTTCTCGGAGGATGAAGCCGGCCCGAAGCTGATCACCACCGGGCGCACCCCGACGAGCCGCAAGACCACCAGCACCAGCGCCACCGGCGCCACCGCCGACGGGAAAGGGCCCACGGAGGAGGAGCGGGCGGCGGCGGCGGCGCAGCGGACGTTCGCGGTCGAGAAGCGCGACCGGTCGATGCTGCAGGCGGTGCTGGACCCGAAGCCGCGGACGCGGCTGCGGTGGGAGAAGAAGATGGTGATCCGCGAGGTGCGGCGCCGGGGCCGGCTGACGCGGGCGGAGCAGATCATGCGCACGGAGCGCGAGTCGCTGGTCAAGTCGCACTTCTTCAAGACCTCGATCAAGAAGCTGGGCCCCCTGTGCCGCCAGATCGCCGGCAAGAGCATCGACGAGGCCATCCTGCAGATGCGCCTCAGCAAGAAGAAGGCCGCCAAGGACGTCCTCGAGCACCTCAAGCACGCCAAGAACATCGCCATCGTCCGCTCCGGTATGGGGCTGGGCGCCGTCGTCCCCAAGGTGGAGGCCAACGAGGCCGAGGAGGCCGCTCCCAAGAAGCCCACCCCCCAGCCCGTCACCATCACCCTCAAGGACGGCTCCAAGAAGACCGTCACCGACCCCACCGCCATCTACATCGACCAGGTCTGGGTCAACCGCGGTCCGTACGGATACGAGGCCGACCACCGCGCCCGCGGTGTCATCAACATGATGCGCCCTCCCCACACCGGTATGTCCGTCCTACTGAAGGAGGAGGCCACCCGCATCCGGGAGTGGAAGGAGCGCGAGGCCCGCGATCTCCGTCGCCGCAAGGCCCAGCTCTGGACCCCGCTCCCGGATCGCCCCATCACCCAGCAGAACCAGTACTACTCCTGGTAGATGGGACTGATCCCGAGAGCGGTTGTAATCTTTCTTTTCTCTCATCCTTTTCATGCCAACAAAACCGGGTAGCTTCTTTGTTTCGTGGTTGTTTTTTGTCTTCGACCTGGCGTTCCGTCCACAAACCTGTATTATGTCTCTAGAACCTTGAAACCCCCTCCTTTACCCTGAAGAAAGCAACTATAGCATTTCTCTCTTCGTTTTTATGTGTTTCTGGGCAGCTTTGTTTTCTTCTTGTCGGGTTGACATGATCTGATAGATAGGTAGGTAGTGTGTGTGTTGGGGAGTGTTTGATATGCATGGCATCTGCATGAGCAGTCACTTCTTTTCCTGGAGCTCGAATCTGTGTACAATATATTGCGTTATATACGGTCTATCCATTCCTCCATCCCTCTAATCTATTGGCCCCCTCTACCCGGACAGTATTAGTATGACCTTACTACCGAATAACCAAGCCTTTTATAAAGAATACGAACAATACCCAAGGGCAGCCCTACATAACCCAACCCAACCCAACTGCAGCAGCAGCAGCAGCTACCCTCCCTACCCGAGTTGAGGGACAGAACCATCCTTGCAAACGGGCGGTGGAAACCACGGCTCCACATGCATCGGTGGTAGCGCCCCCGCCACGCGCTCCGCCTTGACAAAGATGGGGATCACGCCGCCGGTCTCCAGCGCGAACGCGCGATGGCCCGTGATTTGGAGGATGCTGGTGATGGCGCCGGAGTGCGCCGTCAACGACAGAAAGGTGTTGTTGTCGTGGCTGAAAATGTCCTGGAACAGATCCCGGAAGCGCTTGTCGCGGGCCGAGTCGGACTCGCGCAGGCGGGCGTCGTACAGGGGGTCAGCCTCGGCGAAGCCCGGTTCGATGCGGTACAGCGGGTATTCGGCTGCAATGGCGGATTTGGTCGAGCGGCCGTCGCAGGTGTGTTGGCCGATTGTTTCGCGGAGGAGCTTTTTTGGGGGTGGTTGTGAGTTTGGTTGCGGGGGGGACTAGGGGCTAGGGGGGGGGAGGCAAGGTACCTCTTTGATGAGTGGGCGGAAGGGCTCCGTATGGGGGATCCCCAGACCGCTGAAGGTGATGTTGGCGGTGGCGAGGCACCGGTTCAATGGGCTTACGTAGTAGGATTCCGGGGTGGGGATCTTGTGGGCGAGTTGCGTCTTCCAGGCCGAGTGGGCGGTTTGGGCTTGCGAGATGCCGAGCGAGGTGAGGCGGGCGTCGACCCAGGTGCCGTTCTCGTCGCCGTCGAGGAGGGACCAGTAGCACTTTTTGGGGGGATCAGTCAGGGAGAGCTG